AAAGTCGATGAAGAGAATCGATCAAAGCAGATAGGACCATTTGAAATGTTCATCGAGACTTGAGCACATAGCCGTTTCTTGTTGTGTTTGTCGCATTACGTGCTAGATAAAAGCTTCTTTTAACGATCTGTGTGCTGAAAATATCTGGTAATGTCTTATCAGGGCCGTGAAAATACAAATAGAAAGTCGACGAAGACAATCTGTCAATGTTACTTAGGACCTAATGCAATGTGCAGCTTGATGTGGCAAAGGAGGAGGAGAATTAGAATTATTTTATTATATTCTTGTTTAATCTATTGATTCTATTGAAATCATTAACAGCATGAATCACACTGATAAGCGAAATCTAAGAACTTTGCTTTATGTAAAGGCGAACAAGGTAAAAAATTCCATATCCGAAGATGGCCTAACATGAAAAATGTATCCGTATCACCCGGCAAGACGTGATTTATGAAACTTTATGTGCTTGGAAAAGCAGAGATTCTTCATTTCAACACATTACAAATTTCAGCATCTCAAATAAACATGAATATGTAGAGAATTCAAGATGGATGGGAGCTATATTTGGTTTGATCGAAACATACAATTTTAAATATTAATATTCGGTGACAATGTATTGCTTTTCTATTAATCTCAACTCGGACTTAGTGGCAAATAGAATTGCTTATAGTTAATATTTCTGAAAATCATGACAACCAGCAACCATTAACACAAGGATTATTTTTCTAGAATAGACTTCTCTGAATGCCCAAGCATTAGTGCAGAACTATGAGGTTGCTGCCTCAAAGTTCTGCCCTAATTCTTGGACATTCAGACAAAAGTCAGAGAATACTATTACAAAGCAGTAGTCGTAACTTTCATACTGGGAAGATTCAAACTGCGGTCAATTTAACGAAAAATATACTTCCGCCTTCAGCAAATTGCTCATATTTTGAATCGGCAAATGCTATGGACAACGTCGACCGATAACAAGTTGCACTAGGTTCGGATGAAAACGGCTTACAAAGGATTGGCACGAAGAAGTAGGAAGGTAATGGGATCTATGGATGGTTATCCAGTGTAAAACACCTTTTGATCTCTTTATTTATACAGGTATTCAAATAAGACGCCCACATTTATCAGGATTCACCATTCGATAATGCAACGCAGCAGAATTTAGAAATATTTATCACCGTTGAACGTCTTTGTTTGACAGTTAAGGAATAAACACAAAAAGGTTGCTGCACAGCTAAAAAAAAGTAGTGTAAATTTCCTTACTATGATGCACATAAATGGAGCGTTATAAATCATACAAATTTACATTATAAATCGTGTAAATTTATGAGACATGTCATGCAATATTCCGCATATTGTATGCAACTTTCCACCTTTGTTTGCAACATTTCGTGCAAGCTGCTAGTTTACGTGAAAAGGAAGTTTACATGCATGAATATTTGCATGCATGGATGTTTACATCACCAGTAAAATTCAGATTTTTTAGTGTGTGTGTTACCATGCATCACATGTTGAGCAACTCGAGTTACTCAAGTTGTTCAAAATTAACTCAAATATAACTCACGATCAAAAGCTGTCTTGTCTCCAGGTTCCTATGATGTTTCGAGACCCCTACCCTCTCTGTAAGGGGGGGGGGCTCCCAAATAAATGAAACAGAAATTTCTGCATAACTCGAGAACTAATCAATCAAATGGATTCAAATTTGGCATGTGGAAGTCATAGAAGGTAGCCCCTTAGATAAGAGGAGGGGGGGCTACATACAGTAATGCATGCTTTTTTTAATTGGTGCATAAACTCAAGCTAATATTGAATCCCGGGCGAGGCCGGACACACTCAGCTAGTATAATATAAAATGGCATCACTGTTGAGTGTTGACGTTTTGTAAATCGTTGCCAATTTTTACTACTCGGTTGAATAGTTTGTTTACTCAAAAATGAAGCTAGTTAGAGAATTTATTACTGTTGAAACTAGTGAAACCTCGACCCACCAACAACCCATCGATGTTGAGGATCGTTCGACAAATTCTGTAACTATTCTCGTGAATCTTTTCAGATCTATCAAAATCCGCCTCTTCTGAATCACATCAAAAATCAAGAGAGTACCAGAGCTGAGCCAAAAAGTTGAGTACATTTCTTCGGGACCTTCTGATCTTAGAGTTACCTCTATGATAATACCGCGCCTTATCCGACAAAGCTTTCTGAGGCCCTGTTAACGTCATCAACAGCCCTAATTTTGACAGACACCTTGTTATATATTTCCCTAATAAAACATTTATTAAAAGCACTAAGGCGACTGGTTTTTGCCTTCTGCAAGGGTGGCAACTAACGATTTTAAATTGGCTCACTGCTTGACTAACCTATTGGTCCTAAGCAAATCGATTAACGTACCCCATTCCAGTCGAAATTCTAGTACTATATTATGTTTGTTTTGATTCACTATGAAAGTTTGACAGATAAAATGAGGGGCTCGTGGATTTTCCTATGTTTTGAGGGGTGCATCGATTAACTTGGGACCGAAGAGAGTACCAGAGCTGAGCCAAAAAGTTGAGTACATTTCTTCGGGACCTTCTGATCTTAGAGCTACCTGTATGGTTATACCCCTTCCTCCCCTACTTCGCTGACATATAAGCCAATATTTTGTTCAATATTGAAAGTACCATCTTCCGATAAGGAAACCACAACTGCCTGTTGCGTTATCATAAAATACAACATTCACTGTCTTCTTTCCTGCAGACATCTAATTTAAAATTAACGATGAATTGTTTCATCTCACAACATTCATGCCGGAGAGGTTCACTTGTTTTAGAGGATCATTTTTTATTTAATAATTTCCAAGTAAAACCCTTGCAGAAGGCAAAAACCAGTCGCCTTAGTGCTTTTAATAAATGTTTTATTAGGGAAATATATAACAAGGTGTCTGTCAAAATTAGGGCTGTTGATGACGTTAACAGGGCCTCAGAAAGCTTTGTCGGATAAGGCGCGGTATTATCATAGAGGTAACTCTAAGACCAGAAGGTCCCGAAGAAACTTGCTAAATTTTTTTGCTCACCTCTGGTACTCTCTTCGGTCCCAAGCTAATCGATGAACCCCTCGAAACATAGGAAAATCCACGAACCCCTCATTTTATCTGTCAAACATGAATAACGAATCAAAACAAACATAGTGTAGTACTAGAATTTCGACTAGAATGGGGTTACGTTAATCGATTTGCTTGGGACCAGTAGGCTAGTCAAGTAGTGAGCCAATTTAAAATCTTTAATTTCCACCGGTTGGTATTATCAAGCCGCCTGGCTAGTTCGATTCCTAGGTTCGCTCTAAGAATTATTCGGGTTGGAAAATGTCGCCACTTCGCTGGGCATAGAGTATCATCATGCTTGCCACACGATATACAATTTCATGCATTTGTAAAGGCATCGAAAGCACTCAACTAGTAACTGTGAAAGAGCTTCAAAGTATTCTGTTAATTGACACTTTATTTCATAATCATCCTTTCAGTCCTTAATCCTAAATTTAGGGTGTGGATCTTGTTTATATTTCGTCATATGTTCCTATTTTAATCTTCATATCTGATTGCAATTTGTCGCGTATTGCAAGTGTAATAGGCTATGTATTCGCGTTTTTATGAGGCTCTGAATCCAGTCAAGTTTTACTAGGTATGCAATTCAAAATGACCAAAATAATATGTTACTTCTACTGTATTTTAAATCAGAACCCCACCTTCATATTGAGACTATGTGTATATGATTAAAAATCAGAGCGACATTTCTCGCTGACATCATTGGTCTTCCTATGTCGCCAATGTCGCTAGTCGCGCTTAGGTTTAGTGCTGACGCCACAATACGCCATTTCGAGGAGCTATTCGAATTGTGACCGCTGCGCTTAAAATTATTCCAAGAAACTAGTTAGAAGTTTGACACTTCTTGCAGCATCGACGACCAATACACCTGAAATCAAACCTCATTTCGCTAATGCCAACGTTCATTTGTTGATTATTTCCCGAGCACTATGCTCCACCGCAGTCTAAATCGTATTGTCCAAACAACAATAGAAGCCCGATATAAATCAAGACATCATTCCGCAGAGTGGTCATTCAACAAATTAAACCTGACCATTATTGCCATACTTCCACAACAAAGTCTCCATCCACCGGATCCCACGCGCACCCAAGACGAAGAAGAAGAATCATTGACCCGGTTAAGCCCGTCGGATCACCTTTAACTCCGCTCCGGAAGACGACCGGCTGTCGTCGAACTTCAACAAAAAAAGGCCCCAAACGAGAAATAAAAAGCAAAAGAAGCCGCAAAACTTGCCATATCCCCGTAATTAGGCGGTGAGACAGGAGGATTAAAAGGATTTCCTCCTCGTCGTAAAGCCCCATTTGGGGATTACCGTAAAAAAAAACATTCAATTTAGGTTAACTGGTAATTGAATTCGTCGTCTGCGGCAAAACTCGCTTCAAATCAAAGCCGTTCCAAGATGAAGAAACTGTACACAACCTCTTTCTCTCTCTTTCTCTCTCGCACACACACACACAAACTCTCGAGGCAATTGTTTTTCTCCAGAAATAAACTACCAAACAGCCACCGAGAAAACTCTTGATTTCCCGATTGTTGGACTTTCGGATTTCCGACCTTGTTTGAATTTCGTTTTCCCAGAAATAAAAGGCAGTGCACGACGCAAGACAATAGGAAACTTACGGAGAGACAGAGAGCGCGACTAAATTTGGCTCATCCTCCTTCTCCTCCTGCTCCTCTTCTGGGAAGTCGTTTTTTTTTTCATCGAAAGCCAAGAATACAACAATAGCACACACGCGGTCCCGGAAGAGCTTTCCGACGAAATGCGCTTGTTTACTCTAGCAGCACAAGTTGCCATGCAAATCTCTAGATTCGAATTTGATTGAGGGAAACTTTTTCTCACCCAAAAAGAAAGGTGGAAAGTTTTTGGACGACAACTTCTTGATTTTTTTTTTTTTATGTAATCGATTTCTTTTTTCTTTTTGCTCAACAGCTTCCGCCACCACCGCAGATCGAGCTGGTAGTCGACAAGCCACACCTGATGGGAGTGCTGCGGAGGCCAATCGTTCGGATACGACGTAAGTATTTTCTTGTTTAAAAGAACGTGCATAAGTTTGTTTTGGTAAATAGATTTGATATAATCTGGGATTTAGGGGAATTTCGGTTCCAGAATTTCGAGGATTTGGGATTTACCAGATTACAAGTTTTGGGATTCGATGGAATCCCGAATCAGGGATTCGATGGAATCCCGAATCAGGTATTCGATGGAATCGCGAATCAAGGATTGGATGGAATCCCAAATCAGATATTGGATGAAATCTCGAATCAGGAGTTCGATATAATTTCGAATCAGGGTTTCGATGGAATCCTGAATCAGGGATTCAATGGAATACCAAATCAGGGGTTCAATGGAATCCCGAATCAGGCATTCGAAGGAATTCAAAATTACAGATTCAATGGAATCCCGAATCAGGGATTCGATGGATTTCGGAATCAGGGAATCGACGGAATCCCGAATCAGGGATTCGAGGGAATCCCGAAACAGGGATTCGATGGAATCCCGAATCAGGGATTCGATGTAATCCCGAATCAGGGAATCGATGGAATCCCGAATCAGGGATTCAATGGAATCCCGAATCAAGGATTTGATGCAATCCCAAATCAGATATTGGATGGAATCTCGAATCAGGAGTTCGATATAATCTCGAATCAGGGATTCGATGGAATCCTGAATCATGGATTCGATGGACTACCAAATCAGGGGTTCGATGGAATCCCGAATCAGGGAGTCCATAGAATCCCGAACCTGGGATTCGAAGGTATTCCGAATCATGGATTCGAAGGAATTCAAAATTACAAATTCAATGGTTTTTTTTTAATTTTTATTAAAGAGATTTTTAGCCTTAGGCTAGTTCATCTCTAACACAAATTCAATGGAATCCCGAATCAGGGATTTGATGGAATCCCGAATCAGGGATTCGGTGGAATTCGGAATCAGGGATTCGACGGAATCCCAAATCAGGGATTCGAGGGAATTCCAAATCAGGGATTTGAATGAATCCCAAATCAGGGATTCGATGGAGTCCCGAATTAAGGATCCGATTTAATCTGGAAGTACGGATTCGATGGAATCCCAAATAAGGGATCCGGTGGAATCCCGAATCAGGGATTCAACAGAATTCTGATTCAGCAATTCGACAGAGTTCCGGATTATTGATTCGGCGGAATTCGGGTTTATGGATTCGACAGAATTTTTGTTCAAATATTCACTGAAATCCTGATTCACAGATAAGACATAATCTCGATCCCGGTATGATTTGTCCAACCCTGACCTCTTGATTTTAACTTTTAAATCTCCAAAAAAAATCTTGAATGTTACTTTAAAGCGGTCTACAAGGCAATTGGAAATCAATCAAAATTGATCTCCGTGACTATTGCAAAAAAAATGTTCATAAATTGACTGACAAGTAACCTCTTCGACCACTGCGTTTATCTTCAAATTCACAGCAAAGAGATCTTTTCGAGGTCTCACAGTCAAAAGTCAACACGACTTACATATCAAACCCAGAGAACTTCCATGATAAGCTACATATGGTAAATAGAGTCAGAAGAAATCTTCCGCTATAAGTCTAGAGAACTTCCACGACACATCCAAAGATATTCCAATGCAAGCTCATTGAACTACAATGGCAATTCCAGAGGACTTACAACAAAAGTCCAATGGAAATCTAAGTCAGATCCAGGCAAAGACGTCCAACCCAAGTCCATATGATTTGTAGGACAAGTCCAGAAGACTTCCATAAACTTCTTATCTACACACTAAGATTTTTTACAGGAGTCAGTATTTTTTTACTGGGTTTTTGAATTGCTGAAAAAGTCGGTAAAAACTCAAATGACCGTTATCCGTAAGGAATCAATGAAATCGATCAATTTTATTTTCTATCATTAAATGGGGCTAACAGAACTAAGTATGTGCTAGTTCAGAACAAATTTTCTCATTAATAAATTTTCCACAGATTTTTAAACTTTTACCGAACAGAACCGCAATTCAAAAACTCGGTAAAACCGTACTGATTCGATTAGTGTGTATGTGACTTCCTACTTGGTTATGTTTCTCGATCATTTTAGCACCACCAAGTAGTACGGCAGTGAATTATACTGTGAGAGTTTTGCACAGATGTCAGTTAAACTTGCACCAAAATCACCGACATTCGGTAGACAAAAATTATTGTTTAGATTACTGAAAAGTGGTTTGACACTGACCGAAACTGTTCCTCTGAACCACTGAAAAGTAGATTCTTAGACCATTTGATAGTAGTTTCCCAAATCACTGAAAAGTGGTCTCCTACACCATTGAATAAAGGTACTCAATACCACTGAAAAGTAGTCTCTTAAACTACTGAAACGAGATCCAAGACTTATGAAAATTGGTCTCCCAGACCACCGAAAAGTGGTCTCTTAAACCACTGAAAAGTGGTCCCCTAGACCACTGAAACGTGGTCTCCTAGACCACTGAAAAGTGGTCTCCTAGACCACTGAAAAGTGGTCTCCTAGACCACTGAAAAGTGGTCTCCTAGACCACTGAAAAGTGGTCTCCTAGACCACTGAAAAGTGGTCTCCTAGACCACTGAAAAGTGGTCTCCTAGACCACTGAAAAGTGGTCTCCTAGACCACTGAAAAGAAGTTTGCAAGACCACTAAAAATTGGTCTCCAAGACCACCGAAAAGTGGTATCCCAGACTACTGCAAAGTGATCTCCTAGACCAATGAAAAGTGGTCTTGTAGACCACAGCAAACTGGTCTCCCAGACCACTAAACAGTGGCTTTTTAGATCACTGAAAGTCGTCTCCAAGGCCATTGACATGTGGCTTCCTAGACCACAGAAAAGGGGTCTCCTAATTCACTTAGAAGTGGTCTTTTAGACCACTGAAAAGTGGTCTTCTAGACCAATCAAACGTGGTCTCCTAGACCAATCAAACGTGGTCTCCTAGACTACTGAAACGTGGAATCCTAAAGCATTGAAACGTGGAATCCTAGACCACTGAAACGTGGTCTCCTAGACCACTGAAAAGTTGTTTCCATAACTACAGAAAGTGTCTCCCAAACCACTGAAACGTTGTCTCCTAGGTCACTGAATACTGGTCTCCTAGAGCACTAAAAAGTGGTCTCCTAGATCACTGAAATGTGGTCTCCATGACTACAGAAAGTTGCCTCCATGACTCCCAGACCACTGAAAAGTGGTCTCCTAACCAAACTGAAACGTTGTCTCCTAGACCACTGTAAAAAGGTCTCCCAGACCACTGAAACGTAGTCTTTTACACCACTTAAACGTGGTCTCCTAGACCACTGAAAATTGGTCTCCCAGACCACTAAAAAGTGGTCTCCAAAGTAACTGAAACATGGTCTCCCAGACCACTGAAATGTGGTCTTCTAGCCTACTGAAATTTTTCCTATAGATCTAGAAAAGTGGATCTCTACACCACTGAAAAGTGATCTCAAAGACCACAGAAAACTGGTCTCCCAGACCACTTAACAGTGGTTTCGTAGTTCACTGAAAAGTCGTCTCCAAGGCCACTGAAAAGTCGTCTCCAAGGCCACTGGAATGTGGTCTCCTAGTTCACTTAAAAGTGGTCTCTTAAACCACTGAAAAGTGGACTCTTAAACCACAGAGAAGTGGTATTCTATACCACTCAAACGTGGTCTCCTAGACCACTGAAACGTGGAATCCTAGACCACTGAAACGTGATCTCCTAGCCCACTGAAATGTAGTCTGATAGACCACTGAATAAAGTGGCCATGACTGCAGAAAACTGGTCTCCCAAACCACTGAAAAGTGGTCTCCCAAACCACTGAAACGTTGTCTCCTAGGCCACTGAATAGTGTTCTCCTAGTCCACTGAAAGAAGGTCTCCTAGACCACTGAAACGTGGCCTCCTAGACCACTGAAAAGTGTTCTCTTAGACCTCTGAAAAGTGGTCTCCCAAACCACAGAAAAGTGGTCTCCCAGACTTCTGAAATTGGTCTCCCAGACCGCTCAACAGTGGTTTCTTAGATCACTGCAAAGTCGTCTCCTGAGACTGAATAGTGCTCTCCTAGACCACTCAAAAGTGGTCTCCTAGACCACTGAAGAATGGACTTCTAGATCTCTAAAAACTGCCTCCTAGATCACTGAAAAGAGGTCACCCAGACAAATGAAAAGTGGTCTCCTAGACCACTGGAAAGAGGTGCCCCAGACAAGTGAAAATTGGTCTCCTATACCACTGAAAACTAGTCTCTCAGAGCAGTCAAAAGTGGTCTCCTAGACCACTAAAAAGTGGTCTCCTAGACCACTGAAAAGTGGTCTCCTAGACCACTGAAAAATGGTCTCCTAGACCACTGAAAAGTGGTCTCCTAGACCACTGAAAAGTGGTCTCCTAGACCACTGAAAAGTGGTCTCCTAGACCACTGAAAAGTGGTCTCCTAGACCACTGAAAAGTGGTCTCCTAGACCACTGAAAAGTGGTTTTCTAGACCACAGCAAACTGGTCTCCCAGACCACTAAACAGTGGCTTCTTAGATCACTGAAAGTCGTCTCCAAGGCCATTGACATGTGGCTTCCTAGACCACAGAAAAGGGGTCTCCTAATTCACTTAGAAGTGGTCTTTTAGACCACTGTAAAGTGGTCTCTTTGACCACTGAAAAGTGGTCTTCTAGACCAATCAAACGTGGTCTCCTAGACCACTGAAACGTGAAATCCTAGAGCACTGAAACGTGGAATTCTAGACCACTGAAACGTGCTCTCCTAGACCACTGAAAAGTTGTTTCCATAACTACAGAAAGTGTCTCGCAAACCACTGAAACGTTGTCTCCTAGGCCACTGAATAGTGGTTTCCTAGAGCACTAAAAATTGGTCTAACAGACTACTAAAAAATGGTCTCGCACTGTAAAAAGGTCTCCAAGACCACTTAAACGTAGTCTTTTACACTACTCAAAGTCTCCTAGACCACTGAAAATTGGTCTCCCAGACCACTAAAAAGTGGTCTCCAAAGTCACTGAAACATGGTCTCCCAGACCACTGAAATGTGGTCTTCTAGCCTACTGAAATTTTTCCCCTAGATCTAGAAATGTGGATCTCTACACCACTGAAAAGTGATCTCAAAGGCCACAGAAAACTGGTCTCCCAGACCACTTAACAGTGGTTTCTTAGTTCACTGAAAATTCGTCTCCAAGGCCACTGAAATGTGGTCTCCTAGTTCACTTAAAAGTGATCTCTTAAACCACTGAAAAGTGGCCTCTTAAACCTCTGAGAAGTGGTCTTCTAGACCACTCAAACATGATCTTCTAGACCATTGAAAATTGGTCTCCTAGCCCACTGAAAAGAAGTATCATAGACCACTGAAAAGTGGTCTCCTATTTCACTGAAATGTGGTCTCCATGACTACAGAAAGTTGCCTCCATGACTGCAAAAAAGTAGTCTCCCAGACCACTGAAAAGTGGTCTCCCAACCAAACTGAAACGTTGTCTCCTAGACCACTGAAAAAACGTCTCCCAGACCACTGAAAAATTATTTCCTATACAACTAAAAAGTAGTATCCTAGCCCACTGAAAAATGGTCTCCTCGACCACTAGACAGTGGTCTCCCAGAACACTGAAAAGTGGTCTCCCAAACCACTGTAACGTTGTCTCCCAGATCACTGAAACGTGGTCTCCCAGACCACTGAAACGTGGTTTTCAAGACTACTGAAATTTGTCTCCTAGGTCTAGAAAAGCGGATCTCTAGACCAGTGAAAAGTGGTCTCTAAGACCACAGAAAACTGGTCTCCCAGACCACTTAACAGTGGTTTCTTAGTTCACTGAAAAGTCGTCTCCAAGGCCACTGAAATGTGGTCTCCTAGTTCACTTAAAAGTGGTCTCTTAAACCACTGAAAAGTGGACTCTTAAACCACAGAGATCAAACGTGGTCTCCTAGACCACTGAAACGTGGAATCCTAGACCACTGAAACGTGATCTCCTAGCCCACTGAAATGTAGTCTGATAGACCACTGAATATAGTCCCCATGACTGCAGAAAAGTGGTCTCCCAAACCACTGCAAAGTGGTCTACCAAACCACTGAAACGTTGTCTCCTAGGCCACTGAATAGTGTTCTCCTAGTCCACTGAAAGAAGGTCTCCTAGACCACTGAAACGTGGCCTCCTAGACCACTGAAAAGTGGTCTCTTAGACCTTTGAAAAGTGATCTCCCAAACCACAGAAAGTGGTCTCCCAGACTACTGAAATTGGTCTCCCAGACCACTAAAGAGTGGTTTCTTAGATCACTGCAAAATCGTCTCCTAGGCCACTGAATAGTGCTCTCCTAGACCACTCAAAAGTGGTCTCCTAGACCACTGAAGAATGGACTTCTAGATCTCTAAAAACTGCCTCCTAGATCACTGAAAAGAGGTCACCCAGACAAAGGAAAGGTGGCCTCCTAGACCACTGGAAAGAGATGCCCCAGACAAGTGAAAATTGGTCTCCTATACCACTGAAAACTAGTCTCTCAGAGCAGTCAAAAGTGATCTACTAGATTACTGAAAAGTGGTCTCCTAGACCACTAAAAAGTGGTCTTCAAGTCCTAGAAAAGTGGACCTCTAGATCACTCAAAAGTGGTTTACTGGACCACTGAAAAATGGGCTCGTAGACCCTGTCGTAGACTGAAAAGCGGTTTCCTATACCACCTAGACCACTCATAATTTCATACTTACAGGAAAAGGATCTCTTAGACTACATAGAAAAAGCTTCCAAAACACAAAAAAAAAAGGATCTTAAGCTACACACTTAGAAATACCTAATTTTACATGTGACGGAATCCATCTTTGACATAAAGGATGACACGTGAACAAACACGTCATGTAAAATTAGGTGCTCCGAGACTGAAAAGTTCGTTACTCGACGAAAAGTACGATTGATTGAGCTGAATTTAATTTCTATTATGATTCAATGTTATGTCAAAATTGACGCTCGTATATGTCAGTCTCAGAGCACCTATATTTACATGATTTTTTCTAAGTGTGTACGCCACGCTAAATAAACGAACATCAGATGTTACCTCTCAGAATTCCATGCAACCAATTATTCGCTAGGGGCAATAAACCATGCTTGCATTGGAAATCAACTATTTCTCGCAAAATTTTCCAAAATGGCGTATTCGAGTTTTTTTAGCAAATGAAAACTAATCGAAATGACGTTTAAAATAAAGTTGAAGACTACTGGACTGCCTTTAAAGAAATAGCCAAATCAAAATTGCCAAAAAAAGGAATAAAAAACACTGTTAAAAGTTTCAAAAAACAAATGTTTACTAACAAAAAAATTGGCATTTTTAAGATTCTTCAAATTATATTTATTTGCAAGATTATCAAAAATGCTAAATTTTCTGATATTCGGCCCAAACCCCCCAACCCCCACTTTAAAATTGACCGAAATCGTAGAGCATCCACTTTTAGTAATATGTTTGAAATTTCTTCTCACAAATAATTTTGAGATATTTGAGTTTAAGTACTTTTCTAAATTTCTACTCAGATTTACAAAAAAAAAATAGTCTCCGTGTATATTTTTCCCATTACGACTACATTTTTTCACTAAAACTTTGTCTTAGGCGTTATTTCAACCAAAAGTGACGTGCAGTTTTTTTTTTTTTTGTAAGTTCCAAAGACGCCATTTTGAAAGAATTGTTCAAGATCCTAAATGTCCGAATTTCAGCAAACATGTGAATGATTGCCCATAACAAACAATTTTCGCGGGGAGAATTTCCCCTACCCGATGATGTTGTTGGTTTGCGTGGGCGTACATCGGTTCGTGCGTACATATATGCCCTACCCGATGTTTGTTTACAAAAAAATATATAGACCCTTTTCAAATGTTACGCAAGAATTATGCAATGTTTCATGCAGCTCGGAGATGGTCGAAAGAAAAAAAATATTTTTTTTTTTTGCTCTCTGTTCTAATTCGGTCATTTTGGTTTTGAATTTCGTTTTTCAAAATGGCCTATTTGGCAATTTTGTATAAATCGAAATGACGTCCAAGGCAAAATAAGGTCTTTCTCAGTAAATTATACACGGAAATTTTGTTTTGAAATATTGACTAAACATTTAAAAAAAAAAACCTGATAAAAACATGAATTTCTTAAAGTTTTCGTGATCATCATTTAAATATTTAAGAAAAAGGAAATGAAAAATGCTGAAACTTTTGACATATTGGAAACCATGGATCTTTCAAAATTCACAAAAATCATAGTTGAAGAACATTCGGTCAAATTTTATGTTTAAATTATGATTTAAGCGATTTGGATAGGGAGATTGCATACTCCCTGTTGTTAACATTTCGTGGATAGTGGGCGGGCTCTTCTCCACACTCATGAGTCATCCTTCTGGACGAGGGCTTGTTCCATTGCGAATTATATGATCACGGTTGCTGGAAGGAGATTCTTATTCTGTTCCCGGTGGGTTTCGTGTGGGTGTTTCTTTTTATGGGCCCACCCCTCCGTTTTTGGCTCTTCATACAGCGCCAAGCTGAATATGACTTGTCAGTGGGACTTGATCAAGTCGTCCGGATTGGATTGCCCATTGCTATGTGCAGACGCCTTGCTACATGAGTGGTAGTCTCAATCATCATTTAAAAAAAAAGCTAATGAAGAATGCAAACTATTTTACATATTGGTCCCTTAAAAACTCACACAAATCATACTTCAAGAACATTTGGTCAAAGTTTAAGTTTTAAGTGATTTTTTACCTTTTAGAACCACGAGAAAAGTAGCAAAAGTTGGAGCGTTTCTTTAATAAAAATTGTAATTTGGTGGTCCAGTCGTTCATTTCAATTAGTTTTATTCCTAAAATCCCCACTGTGCATTGTTTAGAATTTGTTATTTTAGCTGGAATCTTATGTTGAATCTAATCAATTCTCATCTCCCTCTCTCTCTCTTTCAGCCGCCACCAGTTCGGAGGTGTCGGCCCGGCGGAAAAATCGCACCAGCATCGAGAACAACACGACCAAGGTGCGCAGCGAGGCGGCCGTGGCCATCATCAAGAAGACCACCCAGGAGAACTCGGAACCGAAGGGATCGTTGGCCTGTGCACTGCCCTGGGGCCACGGCTGGGGTTGGGCGACCCTGCCGAATGGCATCTGGAGCGGAGGTGAGTTGAGCAGTGACTACAGAAAAAGCTATTAAACTCAAATTACAACGACGAAAGTTCCAACCATCACGCTTGACGGAAAACTTGAAAAGATCAAATTCAAATTACCACCACACGCCAACCCTGCTGCCTCCCGAGGGGCCCAGTGACAAACAACATCGATTTTCGTCGTCGAGGGAAATTTCCCATTAATCATAATTACTTCCCGGTCGTCGTCGTCTTCGGCGCCCCTTTCGACGACGACGACGACGGAGACGCTATTAATTGACCCCTTTTCCCTGTTCTGCCTTGTCATCCGAACCTACCGAAAGGAGAAGATACCGAATTAATCAGATTCGAAGGATATTGAATATTTATTGAAATCGATTCCCTCTTTTGTACCGGAAAATGGAAGGATTTGTCGTTTCGAGTTGGTGCCGAAACGAATCTGAAAGTCATCCTCGGAAATCTGATGGAATAATCATCTATTCATATATGCGATTTGAATGCGCCTTTCTGCCGTGAACCATGAGGGAAGTTTTGGACAACTGATCAATTTTCAATCACCCTTTTCTGCCCTCAAAAATTAGGCTTGTTCGTCTCCACGAGGACTAGCGACAAGTTCATTAAGCTCAACTTTCCTTTCACCCCCCGCATTGCAAACCTTTCAAAAAGGATCCTTATAAAGCAAGCTCGCAAATGAAGAGCCTGGCCATTTTGCTCCCACTCACACCTTTCAATGACCGTTTTATTATGTGAGTAGCATAATGGGAAAACCTATTCGGCAGTCATTTTAATTTCTATTCATGGCATGGCTTATCTCGAGAGTAGAGCCAAGTGCAGTCATATAGGAAGGATGCAGATGGCACTTTTGATGGCCATCGTTGCTCGTTCCTTTTTTTTTCTTTTTGCATCTGAAAGGATAATATAACTGGTCTATTGAAGTCATGAATAAGAGAGCCGAACGCAATCCCTATCTCAGTAGATGCAGGTGCAGAAAGTTTAATGGCTCCATTTTGGGTCAAAATTCGATGTCTAATATAAGTTTTATGCATTGTCAAAGCAAAATTTGTAGTAAGAGTTGTCGAATTACCTTTTATTTTCATTGATCACGAATTGTTCATGATACCAAAAATCATGAAAACAGGAAAACTCGAAAGAACTCCTCACGTTTTAAAGATGGAAAAATCCTTAAAAATTGTACATCTCGTTTACTTGCCAAATTGCCATACCTTAATCTTCGAAAATTCTGTGGATAGGAGAAATGGCTTTAATGTTGGCCTTTGGATCTATGGTTGGGCCCATCGCTAAAAATCTGCTATTTATCAATTTTATCTAGATGAACGTGTCAATGGGGCGGTACTAATGGATATATTTGGTCGCTATTGAACATTTAGTCGAGTGCTGAATTTATGTATGGGCCCAAATAAGGTGCATTTAGGCCCACATTACATCCATTTCCCCTACATAAAATTTCTTCAATACCGAAAAAAATTTAATTAAATCACTGGAAAATTGTTTGCTAGATCACTCAAAAGTGCTCTTCTAGACCACGGAACAGTAGTTTCCTATAACACTGGCAAGTGGTCTCCTTGAATACCAAAAAGTGGTCTGCTAGACCAGCAAGCGATTTAAAATGTCTGTTTTCTGTACAAAAATTACAAAAAATGCGTTTTAACAATAAGGTCTTAAAATTTTACTAATACAGTATCCGTTTGATTTCGGCAACAAGTCCGAAAATTTAGTGTTGCCAAAACCAAACGGTTTTATTCTCAAATTTCATTTATGATTTCATTGATTTCGGACCAGCGTGAGTCATCTTTATGAAATTTTTCCTTATAACATTTTCATGACATTTACCACCTCTGGTCTAGGTTGCCTTGAATGAATTAGACAGGAGACAAAACATCGTTTTGCCTTTTTCTTATTGTCTTTAGAAATTATTGTTTACTTTATTAAAGTTTTAAAGTTTTAACTTTATGTTTAATCAATGTGACTCAAAAATGTCATCATTTTAAAAAAATTGCATTAAAGCAAAGCTTACCGTAAGAAAAAAATTCTGGCGCAATTTGATTTTTTTCTAAAAAAATTAATTTTTTTTTTTAAATCCAAGAAAATCTACATGTAAAAATAAGTTTTTTATCTCATCCTGAAAAATTGGGACTCTAAACAAAACCGCAAAGTCGATTGCAACGTAATTATTTTTCGGGATTGTAAGTTGCTAGCTACATTTGTGGTTAAAGCGACGAAACTGACGATAAATGAGGGAGGCACGTTCCCCTCTCTACTACTCCTAGAGCTGCCAGTGGCGATTGGGAATAAATCACTAAAATTAAGTAGATTAATTCCCTTGAGCCTCGAAAAACATAGTTGCTTCCGAACCCATATGTCCGGATTGATTTGAGATTTGGACGGAACTGTTTTTGCAAACCATGACTTCAACCACCGATTTCTCGCGAATAAAAGCTCGATCTCGAAAACTAACAACACAATCAGGTAGGGGAGTGATTCTTCTAGCAATTGGTACAGTTTGTTTGTATTAGTATTAGTTGTATTGCAAAAGAAAACAAGCGACAATTATAGACCCACAACTGAAAAGGGTCTATCAGCCTTTGTGAGCAAAATTGTGACAGCTCTTTGATCGCAAATCGAAGGCATCCCATGTAAACAAACAGTATTGTAGGGAAAGTAGGGAAAGTTACCGTGAAAGTTGCATGGGTGGCTGAAACATAACCTGATAGGGTTGATTGGGCTGAAGCATTGTCCCTTTCGGGGGCGACCCCGGCGTAGTGGTTGACATCCATACCTTTCACGCCAAAGTCACGAGTTCAAATCTCACCCCGGACAAGTCACGAATGACCCAAGAGTGTTAAAGTGACTATAATAAAAAAAAAAAAAAAAAAAAAAAAAAAAAAAAATTGTCCCTTTCAATCAGAGATGCCAGATTTACAGAAATGACTGAGAATCGACAGACTTTTATTTTTTCCCACAGATTTTTTTTTTTTTTCGTTACAGACATTTACAGACTTTTGAGTTTTTTCACAGATATTTACAGACTTTTGTAATCCAGGGAAAAATTTAAAATTTATTTGGTTACACTGTTTTACAGTACTACGTGTTAATTAAATTACATGTGCGATGCATTTTGCAACACGCATTAGAAATTCACGCTAACTTCTGCTTACTCACCAGGTGAGTCAATCGTACTCACTTTCGTCCCATGTACCGAGTTGTCAAAAATTGAGTAAACGAGAAATGTCAAACTGAGTAAAAGCCATTCAGTCAGCAAAATCCTGGACTTGGAAAAATTGCCAGTCATTTCAGAGGTAGCCTCATAGAAAATGTTACTTAAAACCGACTGAAATGCCTTCAGGTAAGAACGAATTACTTAGGGAAACGGTGTTGAACCATTGTCTGCTCCTGTATCCGGGGCAGACAATTTCCATTTCTTTGAATAAAAATCAAAACAAAAACCCGCAACTGAAAATACCGGCGAGTGGATTTGACTCAGTCTACGTGAGAACGTCGTTTACTCAAAAGTGAGTTAACATAAGACTACTCAATTTTGAGTAGCCCTACTTGCCGCTGAGATGAGTACCTTCGACTCAATTTTGAGTTGACCAGAATAAGCGTGTAGTTCACTCATAATCGCCAAAAGTGCAAGAACTCAGCGATGAGTAAATTTGCCTCATGGTTTCCTGTGGAAAACCTAAAAAATCTGCCGGAAAATGAAGGAGTAGTACTAATAGACTGAGTGAATCCAATCTGTACTTTTCTCAAAATTCGGGATTTTTTCCTTGGAAAATCCTGGAAAACCTGGGAAAACATGAGACAAATTTTACTCCTCGCTGAGTTCCTGCACTTTTGGCGATTATGAGTGAACTAAACTCAAATTTGGGTTGTTCTCATTCGCCGTGAACATTTTCATTACGATTTGACGGTTTGTTTGGATACGTCAACTCACGTTGGCCGGTCTATTAGTTGACTGTCTATAGTTACTGTCAAATTGATATGAAAATACCTGCTTTGTGAATTTAAACCCAGTTTTCTCAACAATTGTGCGTGCTTCAAAAAATCTAACTAGACGTATAGATTCAGGAAGGTCTATTCAACAAAATCTAAGCCTAAGATTCAAAGGAAGGAAACAAAATCCATCTTGGCTAATTATAAACACAACATTCTAAAAAATCCAAGCATAACTTTCAAAGGACGGTATCAAAATCCAACTTAGCAGAGAAGAAAACCCAAATTTCTAAAAAAAAAATACTTTTCCGAATTATCCCGTCGATTCTATAAAATACAAGCTTACTTTTCAAATATCTAGATAGAGCTGGAATTAGGGCGTAACAACTTTAGTAAACAATGACTTCTTTTGATGATTTCTAGAAAGCTAAGGCTTGCCAACGCAAGTCAACAACACCTTCGGGTAGGGGAAGACTTCCCCTACCTAACGGTTATGTTGGTTTAGGTGAGTGTGCCCTGATTTCCTAGAAAACACCCATAGAAGTCATTATTTACAAAGGATTTTACGCCCTATTTCCAGCTCTATCTAGATATATGAGCCAATATGCAATTTGACATAACCGAAAAACCAAATTTATTTGAAAATAAGGAAAATACGTATGGATTCAGCAATTCTATAATTCAACTTTGCTGAACAGGAAGCCCAAATTTCTGTGAAAATACATACTTTTGAGAATTTAAACCCATTTTTCTAAAAAAAAATGTGCAAGTTTCAAAAAACTTACCGTCACGTATGGATTCAGCAAGGTCCATTCTATAAAATGTAAGCCAATTTTTCAAAGGACGGAGCCAAAATCCAACTTGACTCAACAGAAAACCCGAACGTACATCAAAACACGTATTTTTGTCAATTTAAACTCGGTTTTCACAAAAATTCAAAAATTTCAACCCTGACGTATGGATTCAGGAAGGTCCATTCTATAAAATCCGAATCCATTTTTCAAAGATCAGAGCCGAAATTCAGCCTTGGGAGAACAGAAAATCAAAGTTTCTATGGA